TTTCATCAGGTAGTTTGCTAATAGACAGGAAATGAACAACACACACACACACACACACACACACACACACACACAAAAAAAAACATGACCCCTTCACTTTGAGTGTGAGATAATTATGAGCTTACATTGTAGAGATCCTCTCTAGTCTTTCCTTTATCTCTACCTGAAAAACAGAACAAAAAAAGGTAAAAATCAAACAAACATCCTGTTTTTAGCCCAGTGACAGAAACTGAAAGCAACACTTGTGTCTGAACTGTTAGGAACAATCTAAAAGTGTTTTCTAAAAGAAAACCGCTGATGTGCAAACATCAACTATTATCGCCTCCTGCTGGATGCTCACTGGTATAATCCCTCTCTTTCTCTCAGTAAAAAAGCATCACAACAAACTTTCTAACAACAAATGATCATACAATCTTTTGTTTTTATTTCCCATGTTTGAATCCACAAAATAATTTCTGCAGATTGCACAACTTGCTTTACGAGTGCGGTGTATCGTATTGGACCTGTGCAGCTGAAGAGGATAAACAACAACACGGGACTAGAGTGAATCCTGGCTGTAAGAAGTAACACTGCTTCAGGAGGGAGGAACGCTGTGAGAAAGATCAGTTTCACTAAACTCAAAGTTAAGTTTTATACAAACAACTATGTGGAGCACTGCTGTGTTTCAGCTGATCAAAGATTCATGCTACAGACATACTAGTTTACAGAGATAAACAGTAAAGAGACAGGAGGCAGATTCAGCCACGAAAGATGACGTTACTTTACCTTTCTACCCTAACAAAGACGCACTGCAACAGTTTTTATTATCTGTTCTGCAACCAAACTGTTGAACTGCACCAGACTAACACATGTTCTTATGATTGTTCCACAGAAATAAATGTTTTCACCTGTGAGGCGTCAGAAATGGAGCTGAAAGAATGAGAAGAGGCAGACGACTGGCCCTGCAGAGAAACAATCATCTGCAACAAGAAAAATAAATAAAATGTTCAAACTAACACTGCTCAGAACAAACACTAACTGTATTATCTTCACTGAACACAAACAATGCACACATTTCCAAATCATTCCTGTCCTACATTTTGTTATTCCACTGTTTGTGTCCTACCTGTGGGTTTCTCAGTTCATCCTTAGTTTCCAACAAAATGATTCTGCTCATTAAATTTTCCCAGCTGTCTCTGGAAATGGTGATAAAAGCTCCATCACTCTGGAGAAGATAAAACCAAACAGCTGTGAATGTGGTGAACTGTGTACATTTGCTTTAAAACCAGCCAGTAAAAAAAAAAACTGTTGTAACATATCTATAAATCAACCTTATCTATATTTGTACACTTCTCAAGCTCCTCCAGGCGTTTCTCCAAACTATTCAGCTTGTTGAGCGCAGGCAGAAGATCCTGAAGTTGAGCCTCCAACGCTGAGAGTCGTCTTTCCACCTCTGAGGACTGACAGACAGAAAACATGAGTTCTGTGCACACATGGATCCATTATACCGTTACAGTTCTACAGTTATACAAATATCTGTTACCTTCGAAATGGTTTATTTTGCTTTAATTTCATCATGAAGACAACATACAGAACCCTATGAAATAACGGCAGTGATAATAAAACTACAACAAAAACAAAATAACACACGATGCCTCCTGTTTAATACACATATTATTTTAACATCTCTGACTTGCCAAATTTTTAAACCAATTTTATTTTCACTTGCATAGTTTTATCTTCAACTGCTTGTAGTTTGAACTTTCTTGAGTGTTCATAGAAATGTGTTAAGATTTTGTTGTTTCTGTAGATACCAAACATGTCTATGTTTAACTAAAATAACTTATTAAAGTAGAAAACTGGAGTTTCATCTTAAAGGGATCCATGATTAGTTTTAAACATTAGACTTTATTTGATAAACATATATATTAACGGTAAAGTAAAGACTGTAAAAATACTGTAGGCTGTTTAGTTTTGTAAATTTTTAAAAACATATTTTAACACGGACGGAGCCATTTTATTTACACACAAAGGCTGTGTCCAAAACGGCAGGACGGGTCCTCCGGAGGACCCAGACTCCCCGGTCTCGGCAGGCCGGGTCCTTGGTAGACCGGAAAGACCGGAAAAAAGAGGCTGTGGATTTGGACGGTCTAGCCTCCCCTCCTTACCCCGGCGTACATCTTGTCACCTAGCAACTGTGACGACGCTAAACAAGCAAACTTAAATCAAAACTAGAAAAATATCAATACATTAGCA